AATTGCTACATAGAAGCCCTGTTAGTCACACCAGCGACCACAAAAAATATTTTGCCTTTGAAGTTCTTATTCCATGCAACTTTCTTAGGTAAGCTTTCCTAACATAGGATACCATTTGTGCTTCTAATGTGGTGGCAGGGTCACCATCCTGGTAGGTGACAAGGAATTCTGTTGGAGCCCATTTTAGATAAAAGATCTTCTTGCACATCATTCATAGCCATCATTATGAACAGCACAGCCCAGTCCCCTGCATGGGCTGCAGGAACATCTGAGGTGCCTCTCCTGCCCTCATCCACAGGAGATTTGTGAAGAAGGATTTATGAATTCCTGCTCTAACTCTATAGCTTGCAATGACCAGGGAACAGTATCTCTTGGTTTTGTGCATCATCTGCAATGTGAATGGTTTTAAAATTTTTTTTAAAGATTTTAAAAAAGCAGTTCTTACCTTGAAAACTTGCAGATGTAATGAAAATGAGGCAAAACCAAAATTAAAAGATAGCAGAAAAATATCTACCATTATGCGCTGCACCTCAGGATGCACATTCAGATGGGATATAAGCAAATACCCTGGATGATTTCCTGAATTTCACAGTAACTTAGAAATGTTCTTTTGAATGGCTTGAAGGAAAATCATGTCAAGGAAACAAGGAACTTGCTTGAGATACAAATCATAAAATCCCATAATTTGGAAACATAATTAATTATCAATAGATTGTCCTTTCTAAGTGAATCCATGTCAAAAAGAAGACAACAAATACTACAGCTCTGAACAATATATTTTACCTACACAATTTAAGATCCCAATAGAATGGACAAAGTGGCAGCATGCAGTACCATTTCAAACATAGACATCAAGGCTTGTATTCCAGCACAGTTCAAATGTGAAAGCAGGGCTCAATTTCAAGGCTGTCTGGTGTCCCTCATGCAAACTGCCTGACACCCAAGACTCCTCAAACATTGTTAGGATTTCTGAGACAGCTGTGCTACATCTGTCAATGCTATGCCCTTCCTCAGACAGCTCTGGGGTTAAACTTTTTGCTTATAGACAGCAGTTACATGGGTTTGTATCATTTGAGCCTTGCATCAGGCACATCCAGTCACTGGGACCCATTGCCAGGTGTGCCCCCAACACCCACCAGTCTCCCAAACTGGGGAGTTGGTGAGACCCCACAAGATGGCCCTATGACCCAGACTGATCTTAGTTACTGCAGACAGTGAGGTAATTGCTTCCTTTGGATCCAACTGACCCTCTTTGCTCTCTGTTTACAGTATGCAAGGGGCTCCATAGTCTGTTTGAATAAATGGCCATTTATTCCTATGTTTGCTAAAAGGTTTTTTAAAGAAATGCAGTATCAATATCTCTTCCAACCTTTGACACTGCTCACATCAGAACAGAATCACAGAATGAACTAGGCTGGGAAAGACCTTTGAGATCATCAAGTCTGACCTATGACCTAACACCTCCTCATCAACTAAACCATGGCACTGAGTGCCACGTCCAGTCTTTTTTTAAACACATCCAGGGACGGTGACTCCACCACCTCCCTGGGCAGATGGTTCCATTGCTCAATCACTCTTTCAAATTTAGGAGAATTTTCTTCTAACATCTAACCTAAACTTCCCTTGATGCAGCTTAAGATTGTGTCCTCTTGTTCTGTCAGTGGTTGACTGGGAGAAGAGCCTGACCCCCACCTAACTACAGCCTCCTTTCAGGGAGTTGTAGAGAGTGATAAGGTCACCTCTGAGTCTCCTTTTTTCCAGGCTAAACAACCCCAGCTCCCTCAGCTGTTCCTCACAGGCTTGTGTTCCCAGCCCCTCACCAGCCTCATTGCCCTCCTCTGGACACGCTCCAGTGTCTCAATGTCCTTCCTAAACTGAGGGGCCCAGAACTGGACACAGAACTCCAGGTGTGGCCTTTGTTAGCCATGCTCAGTGCATTAGTATACATGCACTTCAGCTGGGCTGCTGCTTTCACCTCTGACTCTGGCTTACCACCCTTGGGCCTGTTCCTGGAGAACCTGGTTTGCATCCCCTTCCCCCTTCAAATCTAGTTTAAAGCCCCTCAATTAGTTGGGCCAATTTGTGGGCTAGAATCCTTTTGCCCTTAACAGATAGCTGGAGCCCATATGGTGCTGTAAAAGTTGCCCCATGATCAAAGAGCCCAAAAGTGTGCTGATGGCACCAGACCTTAAGCCACTTGTTGGTAATGCAGGTTCTCCTGTTCATTTCATCATTTGTCCCTGCCACTGAAGGCACTGAGCAGAACACCACCTGTGCTTCTGCCCCATCGTCCAACCAACCCAGAGCCCTGAAGTCCCTTTTAATTACCCTGGTGCTCCTCTTTTCAATCTCGTCTCTGCCAGCCTGGACTATTACCAGTGGGTAATAATCAGAGGGCTGAATCAGGCCATGAGTCTCTTGGTAATATCCCATCTCTGGGCCTCAGGGAGGCAGCAGACCTCGCTGTGGGATGGATCCAGTCAACATATGGGGCCTCCTGTTCCCCTCACAAAGGAGTCACCTACTACCACTACCCTTCTTTTGTTTTTAATGCTAGAGGCAGCAATCTGTCTGACAGACAAGTGTAATTGGGAGGCTCTCCAGGCTCCATTATTTTCTTCTGTGTCATCTGGCTGCCCCTCTGGATCCAGGGCCTCATACATATTCTGTAGTGGCACCTGGGTAGGTGATGGGGGCCAGGAGGAATTTTCATTAGTTCCCTTAGGAGGGACCCATTTCCATTCTACTTCATCTACTAGGTCTCTTCCTCCTGCCTGATTGTGGGGGCATGGGAGTCCTCTGACTCCTGGTAGGCTTCTCACAGGAATGGAAGGCTGAAACTCCACCAGTCTATTTCCCTTCCACATTCCTCAATACTCATTAGTCTTTCTACTTCCTCCTTAAGTTTGGCCACCAGACAGATCAGATCATTCACCTGTTTGCACCACAGACAGGAATCTTTTTCATTGTCCCCTGGTGCTAGTGACAGGCTCAAACAAAACACCACTAAGGTTAAGGGACTGTGCAAGTTAAAGACTGATAAACCCACACTGTACAATTTCAGCCTGATGTTTCATACTCAGGATGCAAATCTACTTCTCATGAGCTCCCCCAGTTTATGAAAATGCTGCTCTGTCTCTGCCTTGTCCTGGTGCAGAAATGAAAACTGACTGCTAGCAACCTAAAATTTCTTAAAGCCAGAATAAAATGCAATCCCTGTTTGGTTTGTGCAGAGCATAGGCAGGTAACTGTGTCGGGGAGTTTTTTTCTCTTTTTACATGGCTTATATTTTGTAAGCAAAGAGCTTTCTCTCCAGCCAGCCTTGAAAGCACAAGCACTGCCTGGAATTCCTCTCTTAAATGTGAAGCCAAAATGTCTTCTGCTATAGCTGAAACTGGGGGAGGAGAGGTACAGATTGTGAAAATGCAAAAATGGTCTGAGGGAGATTCTAAGAATCAGAGCATACTTCACCATGGTGAATGCTTCAAGAACACTGGCAGAAAATATGAAGGAAGGAGATAAGAAAACACAGTTTGGCAGATAGCTTGGTCTATACACTCCTACACAACATGGTCTTTGTAGAGAAGTTAATTTTCAGCTCTTGATACCAATCTTAGCAGCTTGTCAGATAGGCTGCCAGCTATGTGAAGGCTGATGACAAAACCATTTCATTCTACAGACACCTATAAAATGGTGTTTCCAAGTTTCCATCGGGTTAAGAGGGTCCTGCATGCAGCCACAGCTGTGTGCTGATAGCCTTCATGCTGAACACACTCAGCATGCCATTTGTACCAATGTGCTAGACTGTGTCCCTCTGCTTTGGACAATGGCACTTGCAAAGTCATGCTAAAAACATTTTCTCTATAGCTTACACCCTCTTCCTCTTGATTACATCTGTCTGAACCAAAACAAGCAGAATTACAATCTACAAAATACTGAGAAGAAATATGAGAGGAAGTGTTCTCAACCACTGCTGCTTTCTAAAAGGCTACAGGACATTAATTAGTTGCTGCTGCTCTCTGCAGACTCCCTCTGCCTATACTGGGAGGACTGGGCCATGCATGAACAGCAGCAATAGACCAGAATCATGCTTTACAGCACGGCCCTGCCTGGGTTCTAGGCACAAGTGAGCCATGCTCCAATCAATTTTCCTTTCCCCTTATCAACCTCACAAACAGTAAGAAAAATAAGGACATCTAATAACACTGAGCAATTACACTGTAGCTGAGAAATAAAGATGTTGAAAAAAAAGTTTGACCAATCAATGCTATTACATGATAAAGCTGTTTCTGATATGTAGCAAGCAGTTAATAACAATTATAAATAATAATGTACTCAAATAAAACCAGTAGTCTCTTCAATAGCACCTTCTGCTCCTCAGCTATCCTTACTTTAAGAGCTTATTCCTCAATCACTGACAGAAGAGGACATTAACTTATACCCTGTGCTTCTCTTTACCCCTCTTCATACATGTCCTGAATAATAATCACATTCTGGGACTATTGCATCATGAATTTTCAGTCCTCCTGGTTCCAAGAACCTTCAGCTCAAAAAGCTCTGCTCTTGACAAGTTGGATGGTTTTGGTGGGAAGTGTCCATGGTCCCTTTGAGTTATTACCAGTCCCACACAGAGCCTCACTTCTCCTCCCTCCCCTCCAGTCTTCACAGTGGGCCATTATACTGTATCCAACTGATCCAAAAATGGGACCTGTGGCAGACTCTCTGAAACAGGCTAGAAAAACTCTACTGTGGTATGGCCCATAGGGCTACAGCTTTTTAAAGCATTTTTGTCTCTGCTAAATAATTTCTCAAGTTCCATGTTTAAATTCCCTCTCTAAGTGCTGGAGTCTGCCCTGTGAGGACCTCACTAAAACTGAAGTAATGAAGAATATGATCAGTTTTCTGAGGGTGTTGTGACATAGAGGCAGGTCTGATTACATCATTTGTTTTGGGTTGAGTCTCAGGAGCTTTATAAAAAGCTAGGAGAGAGAAAAGGGGAGAGGAGGGCAATAACTCATTAGCAGAAGCTCTGTATATTCTGCTACTTGCCACATGTCTACAAGGGAATTTCTTCAGAGTGCAAAGAAATCTGTGAACTGCTGGAATATTATAAGTCTTTCCTTGAGATGTCAGCCAAGAGCTTCAGTACAGTCACAGTGGCTACTGTGCTTATTTTCTTCCTAAAGATACAGCTCTCAAGGCAAGCGCCGTTGAATGGTAAAGTCTTACAGCTTTCTGTTTTATTGTCTCTTGTAGATTAGGGCAGCTATTTATGCATAAAAATTGCATTTTCTCATTATTGCTATTCAATATCATTCTCAAAGTTTTATATTGTTGCAGTCTGCTGTTGTTTGGAGTTAGTATCCTTGTTTCAATTTCTCAGGACAGGTATTCTGACATATACAGGGAAGAGAAATTTGTCCTTTGATTTAGTTGACATTACAGACTTGCATGCTCAGTATGCTTTGCTTTGTGATCGTTTTATTTCTCATGAAATGAAGCAGAGACTGGCCCTTTCAGAGTTTCTGGAAGCATCACACCTTTCCCTCTGCCTGTTTATTTTTAAACCAGAGAGAAAAAAGTGATCCCTGTAAAGCACCCCATACACTAGAGGTCATTCTCTTATATTGAAACAACACTAATTTCAGGAGGTTGGCACTCCTCGTTCTCTTTTTAGGAGTCAGTGTTCATCTATTCCAGCTGATTATAATCAATTTTCATTTTTTCAAACTAATTATAATCTACCTGGCAGGTATATTCATGGGACAAAAATCCAGGAGTTTCAAACATAATCCAGAGCTGTTGGTTCATGCAGAGCTCTGACAGGACAAACATTTTACCATTTTTTTTGCATGAGCAGCAACAGGCATGAAATTCAAACTTTTAAGGTCATCTTCTTATTTTGTGCATATGTCCTCTGAAAAATGCCTATATTCTACATCAGTATCTCCCACCTGAAGGACAGAGGTTCCTAGAGCTTGATGCTTTCCAGAACAACAGAATAAATAAAGCTTGATGCTTTACAGGTGCTTTCTGTGGCCATACAGAAGGTTTGGAACTGAAAGGATGTGTTGAAAAGATATGTGTTATGATACATCCTGAAGGAGATTCTGGAGAAATTCTGGAGAGTGCCTGTCTCAGGGACCTGCAACCAAGAAATGGCAAGAGAAAAAGTATCTCAGACATTTTCTGATTATCACACCTACAACCATTCACACTTCCCAGCTCTCAAGTGACACTGAAAATGTATTTTTTCTCTGTCTTTTGATCAGTCAAATGCAGGTACACTGGCTCTAGCAGCCTCCTCTCCCATGCATGGGCATGTACCTCTGTCACTCATCAATACACATCCCAACATGAACAAAGAGCCAGGAGAGTGTTCACAGACACAGAGCCATTGAATGTTCACCTCTAGATTTGGCACTGTCTAACAGTCTGCCTGACTCTCATTCCATTTTCAGGCAGAATAAAAACAACCTTGTTCAGGGTCTGAGGCTGGCAGCTCTCTGTGTTCATTCACACAAAATCAAGAAGGTTCTGCCATCTGGTCATTGATTCATCTCCTAATCCAAGATGAAATGAGCATAAATGTGCCTCAGCACTACCTACAGCTGTTCTATGGTCGTGCTCACTATAAAGTCATAATAGCAGTGAACTGCAGGTCATCAAAATGCTCACAGGTTGAGGAATGCTTCACTTGGCAAAAGACTTGAAGCGTTCATTTACTTTTGTGTCAAGTGGCATAACTGACTAAAATATTGTAAATGCTTAAAAGTGATTGTTTTAAAGTTGCTATAGATTATAAAAATCAGTTTTGGTACTTCATACACATTTTAATGGTCAGTAAGAGCATGAACACAGTAGCTGTTGTAGTTAAGCCAGCATTTCTCCAAACCCTGCTCAAATGAGGATATTTCTAAAACCTACTTCAAGTCATTTTTATCTTTATGTAAATTTTGTCTATGGAATGACCAAAGGACACAAGCAACCCCCTAAAAACCCAGTAAGAGACAATCCCCTGCAGAGAGAAGGCAAGAAGAGAATGAGGTTTCTCATCTGAAGTCTAAAATATGAATTCTTCTATGAGAGGAACCTGAGGACTTGAGCCAACACGATTACACAGACCTTGCTTTGAAAATTTCAATGTAAAAGAACAAGGCACATGGGTCCTAACAAACTGAAAGCAGAGAGTTTCATGTTCCCAGCACATATCAATACAAAAGAGCTAAGTGCAATTGATTTGCACATCCTTAAAAACTAATCCCAAACATTTTAACATAATATTCTTAGGGAAGAACTGCATGTGTGCCCACATCAATCAGAGCACAAGAAATGCTGTCAAGAACCATGTATTGTGCAGACATGTGCATGTAATGATAAATATTTGCCTGCATGCATACAAACACACTCACAGGCACAGGCACCGAGTGTTTGCAAGATTTGTATTTCAGGACTGTTTTCTAAGCAGAAATAAAATTAAATTTGCAGAGAGTAAAGATCAGCATTTGCCTGCTAACCCTAACCCTTCAGGTCTGCCAAGATAAATACCTCTAATTATGCAGCAAGCTGAGTGCTTTTAAGTAGGTTTCAGGACCAGGAAAAAAATTATTAAAAAGAGCATTTAATAAATTCAGACATTTCCAAATACATGCAGAGATACTGTCCCAAGTTTAGTTCCTTATGCAATGGATGAGTATTCATCATTTGAACACTCCCCCTCCCTGGGATTCTCTGAATTAAATGGGTTCATGTATCATATTCCCTTCTTTTCATTCATTTCTGTCCATCACTTCTCAGTCTAGCAATCCACTGATATTTGTCTAACTCCTCAAGAAGGCATAGGGGGGATTGTTGTAGTTACATTCCACTTATATTCCTTAGCTTCCTAACAAGAGAAAAATCCTAGGGGTGTACCTACAGACAAAGTCTGTGGATATTCCAATTAAAAAAAAAAATACCGACAGCAGTCCTGCCCCAAGATTTAAGTGACCACAAGAAATTCACCCTGATGTGCAGGATCACAGGGATAATTATAATTACAATTTGAGTGAGAAAGGTTCATAAATTGTCAAAAAGTTTTGCTGTTTTGCTCAACAGCTGGGACTAGAAAGACAGACAAAAGTATTGCAACATTCAATACATGGGTTTAAGTAGCAATTTGTTTCTTTACAGAGTAAGACCAATTTCAAATACTCACAGTAATATTTTCTTTGTCTTTAAACAGGGTCCAAATGGTCTTATATTGGTAAGTACTAATTCATACCTACAAACTTATGGCTGCCTTTAAAGTCAACCTGCCAAATGTATTCTGCTATTTACTGGGATCACAATCCTTACCCAGGTTTGAATCTGATCAATTTTCTTGTAATCTGTTATTCATCCATCAGGTTTCATATCTAAGTGACTGAGGATCAGTTACTGAGCTCTAAATTTCCTTGTGGAATGGCAGGAATTTCAGCAGACTAAAGCTGGCCCTACAGCTGGACAAGGTCCCTGAAGCCCTCTGTTTCCTCAGCAGCCAAAGGCCAGCAGCACATTCCAGCCTAATTCTGCAAAGAATATTCTCTCCCTACCCACATGAGTCCTCTTTTTCAGGTAGAATCAGAGTTCAGCATGTCACCTGTATTCTGTTACTAGAGGCTCAGGTCCTTGAACTTTGAAGTGACAAAGCAGAATAAATCATCTTTAGGAAAGCAGTGTTCATTTGTAGCTAATCCTTTTAGTCCTCTGCTAACAAAGAAGGACCTGGTGGCTGCTCAGGAAAAGGATTAGCTAACATTTTTCTTTTAACTCATTAAATCCTCTAGCCAGGTATTTCTTCATTCAGAGTAGCATTTTACATGCCTAATACCCACACAGAAGTAGGCAGTATGGAGACTCTCAGAAAAAAATGCTTGTTCTTAAGCTTTTGGTGCTGCTCCAAGACAACACAAAGAACCTCTGAGACTGAACTTGCAGCTAGGAACCCTTTGGCTGTGCTCCAGTTTACCTGACTCACTTCACATAAGCAGAATGTGTCAGCTGCACGTCTATCTGCCAGTGTCCATGCACAGACCTCACATTCCCAGTTGGGAAAAAGCCTGACACAGCTTTAACAAAAGTCTGGGCTTTCCACTCTGGCAGCAGCCATCAGATAAATCTAACCCTGCTGGTTAGTAAAGAAAACAAGACTTTTTTTTACTAACATGAAAGCAAAAGTTTTGCCCTTCTTCCCAGTGTAATCCTTGTTTAAATTAGTTACTTCTCCCTTCCTAGGAATTTGGGTACTAGTGTTGATTTCAAAGCATATTATTCTCATTGCCCAACTTCACCAATTTCTGTTAAGCTCTTCCATACTGCAGTCTGATTTCTACATTCTAAATGTATGGAGGATTGGGAGAAGGTTCACAAAACAGATTATCTTTTTCCTTCAACTACTGATTGCAAAATAAAAATAAATCTAGAAGAACATATAAAAGCAATTATATAAAAGCAACTTCAAAAAACTGACGTGGCAACTGAACTTGTACAGAATAGTACAGAAAAGCAGAGGTAGAGCAAAGAGAAAAAGAGCTATTAGAGAGACTGTGCTAAGCAAGGAAAGAGCTCCTCCATACTCTACCACTGGTCTTGGTTCCTTATGGTATCCTAAATATTTCACTGTTTATCTCTGCCCTTAAAAAACACCTTGCAGGGCCTCTCACTGAAATTAAGTCAATGGAATAGAAAGGAAATCAAGCCATTATAACCACAGTACAAACTGGTATCAAGATGGGGGTCAAGGTACAAGATTAAGGGTGGAGGAGAAATCTGAGTGCTCATTGTCAGAGATTTCTATTTGTTGAGTATTTTACACATTTTACAATATGTAAAACTGAGCATTGATGCAGTGTTAGTACCTCAGGCCATGTTGACAAAGCAAGATGATGCCACTTGTGATCAGGCCTTATCTATTCAGCACAGGCTTTCCAAAGAAATAGGAGTTTGCCTTGCCTATAATGAAACTACTGCATTACATATTTCAAATATAAAGACTAAACTTCTCCTTTGTTTGCTTATTCCTTTGCCAAACTGAAGCAATGCTATTTGTTCTCCCTGTTTTCATTACCATTATTCATAGCCAAAGAAAAATTGCCTGGAGGAAACACCAGAGAGTAGTGAGGCCTCCACCCTTGGTGACACAGGCTTGATTTGTGTTCTCTGAGGGGCAGCTCCATCTTCTGTAAGATGGACAAAGTAGATTGAGTCTATCATAAGGAAAGTGTTTTCAGTTAAAGAACTTAAAGAGTGGCTGCAATGCCCCACAGCTCAGGACAGCATGTGCAGGCAGCTTTTGCCAATGCTGCTCTGTGGCTGTGAAGTGCAGGCTGAAGTCTTCTGTGCCAGAAAAAAAAATGGTAGAAGAGGATGTTAGGCTTCAATTCTTTGTATTCTGGCTCTGTTTCTGTAGTTTAAGTGGGCTGGACTGAAATCATAGAACTAGAATCATCCCTTCAGAGTGGACAAGCAGCTACAATGGAGAAAACTAGCTTTGTAGACAAGTTTAAGGTAATAAGTGCTAACAGAATTATTAACATGTTTTAGCAGTAATAGTGCCAACAGAATTATTAATGTACTTTAGCATGTGAAGAGACAACTCCATGCTGCAATGCAGACACAAGAACTATTGGTAACAGATATCAGGCTAATTTTACTTAAAAACTCTTTTATTTTGCTGTTGCTGAATACTCCGATTCAGTGAAGTGTTGAGAAGCTGTGCTAAGACCTTTGCACTTCCCCTTCAGAAATGCCAGCTTTAGTGAACACCCAAGAACACCCCCCAGATTTCTCATACAGCACTTGAATGAAGTAACAGTGACAGCTACAGCCCCTGGCAATTCCTCTATCTCACAAGCTCCCCTCTGGACACATGTGTGGAAAATACACACATATTGGCTCTGTGTATACAGAATGATATTACTGAGCCCTGGGAAAAAAGGAAACCACATGGTCATGTCACCATGGCAGGGAGCCTGTAGTCTCAGCCTCCACCACCAGCTAGCCCTAGGTGAATGGCAGCTTTACAGCTTCCAGCTGGCTGAAAACAGGGAAAAATTCTCTGCCTGGCTGCAAAAATTCCACAGGCATTCCCTGTGTTACTGACCCAATGCATTTTACTACATTACTTCAGATCAAGAGAACTTGCCCAGACTGTGAGAAGCTGGAGCAACACAAATATTAATTTGCCATCAGAACAAAAGTCTGTTGGTACCACTGGTGTCTCACAGGGCTGTTTTCTCCTTATTTAAAACGGGCCAATGTGTACATCCTGGGAGCAGACACCACTGTTCATGAAGGAACATCTGTCCTGCGTTGCCTGGAAGCACCAGCGCTGTGGGGCTGGATTTGGAAAGCACAAAACTGTCAAAGGAGATGGTATGATGGACACATGCAGCCTTGGTCCTGAGGGTGTTTTGCTCAGCTCACTGGGTAGACAATTCAGAGAATTATTCCTGCTTTATTTACAGACATCTTTTATGAAATAGCCGTGAGGACAACCTCAGGCTCAGGGCTATTTTCAGTGCGGTAAGGGAACGTGGTCCTGCAAACTTGTATCAAGCAAAGCAGTCCACAAGCTGGATTTGGGCAGCCTGAGTTTGCAATCCCCAGGGCAGGGAGTGCTCTTGGCAGCACTGGGAGCAGTGGCAGCAGGAAAGGTCCTACTTCCACTGACCCCTGCAGCTCCCTACCTTAACATGCTCGCTCCAGCAGCTGAATTACAGTGTTGAGGTGGTAGAACAGGCCCATGGCACAAGTGCTCTGCTGACACAGTCCTGCTGGGATCCTCATAGCACCAAACACTTCTGCAGTGCCCAGGTCACAAATGTGTCACACAAAAAGGAAATTAACTTTGGAGGTAATTCTGCAGTACTTCTTATGTTAATATCTTTTGGGACTTGTAGCACAGGCCAATCTTACATGCACATGCTGTTCTTTATTCAGTAGTGATCAGACAAAGCCTTTGTAAACGCTGTGTGATTTCCACTGAATTTATCTGAGTGTACTGGCACAGGAAAAAGAAAATCTGATTCACAATCAATCATTAATTTTCAGCAGACCTAGCTGAGAAATGCCTTTCAGCTGTGTGGTTTATCTGCCTTGGAAATCTCAGTTTCACATGCAAAACTGAGCTGCAGTGAGCTCAGCTCTTTGAGACAGGAGTTTTGAGACACTTAAATTAGAAAGACTATGTGACAAAAGACAGAATTTCTATAAAAACTGGGTTTGTACCAAAAAAGAGGTCTTGTTTGGTTTTGTTGGTTTTTTTTAATTGAGCAGGAATGAGAAACAAGCAAAATGTTCTGTAGCTTAAAGGCCTGTGAGAGGAGATGCAGATTTATATCAAGAAAAGGATAACTGCTGGTAAAGGTACATAAAGACTGTGATAACTGCATCATTTTATAGAAAGACAAAAGTTTTCCTTCTGAACTGCTGATGTAGGTGTGAAATTCCCATATTCTGTTGCCAACTCTTCCAGACATTCAGGCATTCAAACACGGTACTGAAAAAATGATTGGTACTTCATGACTCCCTGTCTGGGACTAGACTTCTATTCTATTTTATACATCAATCATGTATTTAATTATCAAGTCTCCATAGCTATGATATGTAACATATCAAAATCTTCTTGCAAACTCACTACCTTATCAAACCTTTTTAAATTACTGAAGTCTTAAAATTTTCTGACATTGCTGCAATCTTAGCTCCTTGTAAAGTGTTAAATTTTAGTGTCGTCGTCTTGCATGGCAAATTTGAACCTAAGAAACTGTAATTTCTTGGTATATCCTAATGCATATTTTCCTTGGAGATTTTCTTCAGTATGTATTCCATAGTATGGAATTTATGCTCTTCTGGATGTATTTGTTATTTGCCAAAAATAGGTGGAGGAGAGGCTTCTATGATGTCAGCATATTAGCTTTTGTCAGTTTATTAGCTTTTGAAAAGAATTTCAGCAACTTTAAGGTACTATCACAAAGATGTAAGAAAGAAATTGATGTGATTGTGAGTGAACTGGAGTCAAAAATTTAAATTACAGCAACAGCAAGGCCTATTTATACTAAAAAGCACTGATAGAGTCTGAGTATCCACACTGCAAACAATGCTACCTGCTAACCTGCTCTCTTGAATAATCTTTAACAGCTTTACCAAGGATGTTAGTCTGTCCTTAAGCACCAGAACTGATCTTGTTGATTCTGTCACATGCACTATGTTTAAGTCAGATTCACTCCCACTATCCATTTACTTGGCAATTGTAAATAAATTTACTTGTCTTTATGTAAATAAAGTGAACTGCTAATAGTATCCTCCTGCCTGTTAATTTCCTTCAGAAAATATCTGAACTTGCTTTGTCACTGATGACCTGATCCTCAAAGAAGCCACTGGGAATATCATAGTTTTGGAAAAGAAACCTTCTAATCAAAGACTCAAGGGACTTGATCTGTGTAGTTTATGGGAAGTGAGAAACTATATTCTCTATATTATAAGTACTTCAGTGAAGAACAAAAGCATGAGAACAGCAGGCTCATGGTGAAAAGCAAGCTGCCAAGGACAGTAATTATCCATTGAGCACTAATGAAGTATCTTTTATGTGCATGCTAAAGGAGGAGTAGATGTCTGTTCTCTTCTGAAAGAAATGGCCTCACAGAAATAGAAATCGATCCAGGGAGGCCTGGTGTCCTCTGTTACACCATCAGGCTGGGTGATCCCAGGACGTTCCTGCCTTGGAAAGAATCAAGATAAATGTTCAGAAACAAGGAGAAACACAAGTTGCAAGTGCCTCCTCTGGCATTTAAATCCAATCCATCTCATCTTACAGTTGTTTGCAAACAGCTGCTATCTGTTAATGTGTAATTAAATCAAAGGCACAATTAAAATTCTCTTGATATTATGTATTCTTTGCAGATCTTACCTCGGGCAAAAGTCTGTGATGAAGAAAAGTTTCAGCAGAGTTTGAGCAAATGATTATAGGTCAAATTACCATAACACCTTTTATTTTTGCAAGTTAGCTTTTCACTGTGGGTTATGCAGTCCTGTTAGATACTGCCATACAGTTTGTACAGTTAGGAAAAGTCTGAGGGTCTGATATAATCAAATCTGTCTGTAGTCACAACACCCTCAGAAAAATGATTGTATCCTTCATTACCTCTATTTCAATGAGGTCCTTTTTTAAAAAAAATGTCTTAAAAAATCCAAAAAGGCTTCTTTTCCAAATTTTGTGTGAAGGCTGACACAGGGGAATTTCTATGTTAATTGCACAGTAAAGGTTTGACAAATGTGTCTCTGTTAATTCACACAGGTCCTGATGGAGAGAAGGCCTGGCCAAAGAAATACCCATTTTGTGGAGGAGTGTTCCAATCACCAATTAATTTCCACAAAGATATTCTCCAGTATGATTCTAATCTCTTGCCTTTAGAATTCATAGGCTATAATGTGCCCTCCACTGACCAGTTTACATTGATCAATAATGGCCATTCAGGTAAGGGAACTCACAGATGCTAAAAGGAAAGCTAAAAGAAAGAATTGCAGGAACTCAGTGGTTTTTTACTTCATGGGTAGACTACTTTGATTATTAGATTAAATTAAGCTACTAATCAGATGAGAAAGCCTTCAAATCAGCATACCTACATCTAGAGAACAGGCTAGAGAAACCTAGGAATGTACTAAGTACAAATGAATTCCCAGTAAGTCAAATTTTAAATAAAGAAATTTAAATTAAACTCTAGGCATATCAGAATTAATGCCCAAGGTTTTCTTATTACTTTGGTAATGGAAACAGACTTCGTGATTCTGTTAAAAAGAGATTAACTGATAATATATGAGCAATGGGTCTATTCCATTCATCAAAGCAGCTCAAGTGAATTATGTGGGGGTGTGGGGAAAACAAATGTAGGATCACCATTCTGTTCTTTTGATTTGAGGCAGAAATCTATGTCGTGTAAGGTAAGATAGACAGTGATAGGTAGTGATAGGTAAGAAGGCAGAAGAATAATTATATATAGTATACAAACAGGCTCTCCCCACAGTAGCACTCAATCAGTGTCAGTACAGTAGGTAAAGGCAGAGATGATGCTGTTTCATAAAGGTCTCCTATAATGACACAATACACAATACCTGTGAGTCAGCCCCACCAGTTTTCATTCCTTCCTCAGACACTTGAAGACACAAAAATAAGAACAGTTATAAAACCCTGCTTCTTTGTATCTCCCTTTATTGCCTAAGTATCAGAATAATCTGCATTATTAAATGGCATCTGCTTTCACATGCTTGGTTATGAGTTGACCAACATGCAAAAATCTCTTTTTTATCCTTTCCTTCTGAGCCTTCTTTTCCTAAAAGTCCTTCTTGGTCCTGAGTGAAAGACTGGAGTGCCACAGTTGAATGCACTGGGCTGATATGACAGGCAATAGGCAGAGAAGGAAATACTGTCATTGTATACTTGAAGGGTACCAGAGTGCAGAAGGAGCCAAAGGAACAGCACTGAGAGCCTGTCCCTCCCAAAATAGTTACACAGGTAAAAGCAATTTCCTTGGACAACCTAAGTCACTACCACTGTCATATCTCACCCCTAAAATACAAAGTTTGATTATTTCCTAAAGAAAGCCAAGACAAAAATATAACCCCCTCAAGAAAATGGGAATTCATTTTCAAGGTCAGTGCCCTCCTAGAAAGCAGTAGAGATGCATCCTACTCTAGAAACCTCACTTAGATACAAATTAATTTACCTCTGAGTAACAAAAAATTAGCCTCTGTTGGACTGATCATTATGCTGCTACGTTCTCTTTCAGCTATAGGAAACCCCTAGGATGCTTAATATTGTGCTGTCAGGTCATTCCTATATATAACTGATGTTCTTCACCAGCCAGCTCATCCAGACACAATTACCTGCTTCAGCTAGACTGAAAACAGTAGGGCTCAAAAAAACCCTTCTCAGTGGGAGCCTAAAAATACATAAGGTCACAACTGTTATTTCACTATGGTTTTGAGCCTTGTTTCCCCTGAAAAACATGTCCAGGACAGTCCAGAAACAAACTGCATTCACTCTGGAAAATAATAGGGAAAAATTGCTAAGAAACAGATCTGTTCTTGACATATGCCATTGCTTTATGAAATACCAAATGTTCCAAATGAACAACTGGGAAGTTTCTGCTGGGATGAGAATTACTACTGGAGTTTCTGCACCAAAAAAACCCCAACAAGCCCCACCAGAGTGCCTTAGTGAGCAGAAGAGAGGGTCATGCATACAAAGTCTCCCTCCTGCATGTCAAGAGAGGAAATGCTCATTCTTAAGGCCTGGGATGGCCTTGCTGCTCAACATCAGTGTTCTGGGTTTTGGGAGCAGCAAGGAAAGGGGGTGTTTATTTGGTTTTGTCATGTGCTCCTAAAAAAAAGGTGAAGAGGCAGCAGAATTCAATATAACAGGAGATATAAATTACCATGAGAAATATTAATTTATTAAGCCATTTTCAACCATTATAAGGGGACTGAAAGAAGGTACATGAGCTTAAATTTTGTTTTAATGTATCAATGTCTGAGATAAATTCACATTCTTCAGGGAGAAGAAATATTTCCATTAGCAACAATAGTCACATTCAATTAATGTATTTAGGAAAATAGAAATGGGTATGTTCTAAATATTCTAAATCCTGATCTACCAAGAAAGGCTTAAAGAGAACAGAAGTGTTTATCTCCTACCACAGACTGAGATGCATTTGAGTTAAGAATCTGCTTTTTTCATGTTCTAGATATAATACACTTAGACACGGTATTTTTATTTGCCCTGTCCTTGAGAGCTGTGGTATCATTTGTTCCTCTCTGGTTTTGATCTGCTTGCAGTGAAAATGTTTCTGTCACCTGCTATGTCCATCAGAAACCTCCCATTTGAGTACACTGCATCTCAGCTTCACCTGCACTGGGGAAACCAAAACCACTCCAAAGGCTCTGAGCACACCATCAGTGGGAAGCATTTTGCAGCAGAGGTAAGGCAGGCCAGATCAGATCAGGGAAAGAAGCAAAGAAGGTTGGGGAGGTCCCATTGTTTCAAAGTGGTACCAATCAAATATTAACCTCAAAATTATGAAAAAAATAAATTAGAATAATTTTCTTGCGTAACAGCACTTTACAAATCCATTTCTTCTCTAGTTATATTTAGCACTGGGGTTTCCATTCCAAATATTGGAGTGCTGGGTGTTATTTTTTCAGAAAAATTTGCTAGTACTTGAAGCTGAAGTCATGAATCATGAAGTCATGAATCCTCTTTCCCACTGCATTATGGGGGTGTGTGTGGGCTGTGTATAACTCAGCTACAGCAGGGCTGGGAGTCCCAGGACGTTCTGCCTTTCTCTAAAAAGGTCTTACCTCTGCACCCAGAAATCACTGAAGAGCCCTCCTGCATTGTCTTATCCTGAGGTGGCTGCACAGTCCTTTTTAACTGTGAAACATAAATGTGAGCATGACCCAGAGGTTATTGTAACAAAATATCTCCTCCTTTGTAGCTCCATATTGTACATTACAACTCTGAGAAATACCCAGATATAGCAGCAGCAATGGACAAAGCAGATGGACTGGCTGTTTTGGCTGTTCTCCTTGAGGTAGGCTGCAGGGTCTTTTTTTTTTTTTTTTCTGTTTGTTTAGAATATGCTTTCAATCATTCAGTTATGAGAGACCTTTAATGTACAAAATTACCTACATTATTTAACAGTACAGTGGCTGAATAAAGGTTTTCCTTTCCTCTTTCACCAAAAATAAAAGGGTCAGATTCTAGCAGCACATACCAAACCAGGAGCAAATGTTACAAAAAGAAGAATTCTGAGCATTTCCTCATGATTTTTATTAAATTCACTTCAGCTATGTTAAAGTCTATTTTTGTATTCATTTGCAAACTAATATGGTAGTGTTTATAAAACAAGGGGAAACAGTGAATTTCAAGCTCATTTACTCAAAGCTGCCTGCTGCAGCATGAAGCAGTTTGAGCACAGCAGAGAGGCACAGGCAGGCACAACCCTGCCTTTGACCACTGCATGTAATTAGGATTTAACCACAGTCTTCTCCCTGCTAACTTCACAGATTCTTTGAACTACAGATTACAGAAAATGAGTACATTCTGTGACATTTTAAGATGTCAGGACAGCTTTCCAATTTTCCTCTCTTAAGTCCCACATATGAAGATAATAACGATCTTAAACAGAAAGAAAAAAATTAGTAGCTCACACATATATAATTCTTCTTTCTCTTGAAGATTAAAACTCCTCGATGACTGTAAAGATAATTTTAAAATGTGAGGATTTTCTGCAGCATTACAAACCAAAACCACAAGTTTCCACATTTCCATCAAAAAGTGTTCCAGTTAGCAAACACAACTCTCATTAATGTTACCCAAACTCACTCCCTGGCACCTCTAAGATTCTGACAGTAATTTTGTGTTAAATTTTATATTATGCTAGGGAAAAATACTGGGATTCTGGTTATTTCTAAGCAATGGTGCTTGAAAATCAAATCAGTGAACAATGGAGATTAGGTCTTGGAAATCCTTCCAGATAGCTGGTGGTTGTTAGAGTTAATGTAAGGACACTGTGTCTGGCTGTCAGAGGAGTTGCTAAGAACAAGCTCTGAAGAATTCTTTAAAAAGGCATTGATTATTAGACCAAAAAGCTGCTTTGTAGCAGTTGAAAAACATAGTCTTGTGTGATAGATAGATGAGTTAGAGCCTTAGCCAGAGAGTTGAGCTGTAGCCCTGTGGCCCTGGTCATTCTTTACCTCCCTGGACTGTGAGGAGCAGCAGACTAAAAATGTTTGTGGGTGGAAAAATGCGGCTTTGACCAGAAACTGGGAGATGATCTGAGAAGCCTGTCAGTTGAGAACTTCTGCCTGCAATGCTCTCAGAGGAAAGGGCTTCCCTTCACTTGCACAGCACTCTGGGCAGCCAAGGGTGATAGGGTCAGTGCACTGCAGTTGTAAAGGCAGCAATACAACACAGCAGCTCTAACAGCCCTGGAGCAGGAATGTCATCATGGCTCTGAGAACATAGGGAATGTTTTCAGTTATAAAATACTTATGCCATTTTAGTACATAAATATCTGGACAGTGGAGGCACTTGTCTTAGGACAGGCAAGAAGCACAGACCCATATTCAGATTGGTGTCTTGCACAGTTGTTGATAATGTGATCATTGCAGATTGGACCCTTCAACCCATCCTATGAGAAGATCTTCAGGCACTTCCAGAATGTGAAATACAAGGGTGAGTAGCTAAATTAGATTGAGAATGGCTGGGAGTATCACATGTCACCCTCAGAAGGGTTGAACTGGCTGAAGAAAGAGTCCAGAGATCCCAGGCAAATCTGTCACAAGCTGTGAAAGGCTTCCAAATGCAGTGCACTCCTGGCAAGAGCATATGGCTAGCACAACCCATGTGATTCTGGCTGGGCCTTACTTCTTACACAGGGTGTTTTTTAGTTAATATGGCCAAAGTTTAACTTAGAGAAGTCTCATTTGGTGTTGCAGACAGGATTTGTACATAAGAAACTTAAAAAGCTGTAGTCCTTATTAAACTGGGATCATCTCTGCTAAAATGTATTTTTCTTATCCTAGAGATATGACACTGAAAATATCCTACTTACCAAAAACACTGCACGCCCTGTGTAGCCATGACCCAATATTTAACATGAACCCCTTTTTTAGATCAGAAGGTCCTGGTCCCTGGTTTCAATATTCAAGAGCTGCTTCCTGACAGACTGGATGAGTACTATCGCTACGAGGGCTCCCTGACAACTCCTCCCTGCTACCCCAGCGTTCTCTGGACAGTTTTCCGATACCCCGCCAAAATTTCTCAAGAGCAGGCAAGTTCCAACAGAACACATTTCCCTGACTGGTTCTGCTAAGGAACAGCAAATACATATTCTCATTTCTCTGTAAAACTGAAAGGTGAACATTACTAAAATCTTTTAAGTGGGAAGAATAGCACAGAACTGGCTGATAAATCAGTATCCCATTCTGTTTGCTATTAGCACATTCTCAGCTGTCCAGAACAAAGGACAGACAGTTAGTGATATTTTGATCCTGTAAAGTTTCTAAAAATCTTGTGTTGTGTTATTTATCCATCTTGAATTCCCTTACTTTTCTCCCAACTTACATTTTTTGTTCTCATCTAATTAACTTCTTTTGCTCTTAGGTGGCCACTTACCTACACTATAAGCTCACAATCACTATCTTCTGATTCACCTAATTATAGACATGGGGGAAAATATTATTGTCAAAATCTTGGATCAAATTACTGCAAGCTCCTGATTTTGAAAATACATTCTTGCCTTTGTTCATCAGACCATGTTTCTACCAGAATAAAGAATTCTTTCAAAAAGTAGCCTTTAATACTACTTAGAAGTTAGACTGTGCCAGGAAGAGCATGCTGAAAAAGTCTACCATGCTTCCTCCTATCCAGTTATCCTGGCAGATAATCTGATAGCAAGCAGTAGTTTTCTCAGGATGTAAACAAAATACAGGTATGGGCTTGGAGATGTCACACTGTTTACACATTACTCTGTATGTGGGTTCACAGACCACATGAGACTTTATTATTAGTTAATGTATCCCCTTCCCTTAGACTACATCATTTTTTAAATTTTTTTTCAAACACTCCCAGTGATCACACACTGGCATTGCTTCCTCTGTAGTCTGGGAGCTGAACAGGTACTTCCCTTTATAGTTACTGGCACTGGAAACAGCTATGTACTGCACAGAGAGTGATGACCCAGAACCCCTGGAAATGGTGGATAACTTCAGAAACGTCCAGGAAGAGTTGTATGAATGCTTCTGTGCAAAGAAACAGTGCAGAGTGATCTGTGTAAATGTGAAGAACTGGAAAGGCAGTTCTGCTGCCCTGTACCACTACAAAAACACAGCTTTCTCCTTTTCCTGCACTTCGCTTTGTTGCCTTTTCTTCTCATGTTGCATTTGTGCATGGGCAACTGTACAAGAATAAGGTATTCCCAGGGAAGGTAAGAAGATGGCCTTGTCTCACCAGTGACATTTGCTGATCCTCAGCAAGGTCAAGCTTGATCTTCTGCAGACCACATGTTCAAAGGGAGTCACAATTTTTCCCTTTCAGGGACACTGTTTTGGGGAAATTACACAGAATCAGAAGATGTCCTTGAGGAATTCAAACTTGGCAAATAAATATAATTCATAACACTGGCTTGTATGATTCAGTGTTACTAACTAAAAAAACCAGCACCACCATTTTATGAGGAAGAGCTATTATTCAAAAGCTTAACTCTGCAGTGTTACACAACAACATAAGTTTGGTGGGGGGCTTTGCACAGAAGTCTGCTTCTGTGCTGTGACACTGACCTGTACCCCAGAGAAAGACCTTTGAGTACATTGTTTGTGCAAAATGTATTGTTCCAACTTTTGTTGTCTTACAAACAAATACTCTCAAGGATCCATGAAGCTGGCATGTACACTCAAGGCAGATGAATCTAGGCAATCCACTATAATATTTGAAACTGAGAGTAAAAGATTTCTAACAGAAAAAGCAGATTTCACCAAAAAAGATTAGCCAAGCAGTAAGCTTTCAAATTAATAAAATGTGTTAGCACATCATTTCATCTTTGCCTGCCATTTTCTTCACTGTTTAGATGTAGAAACAGAAAACACAAGAGTTGTCTGTTTTGCACACTTTCACACAACAGAAACAGTTCCCTGCAGGCACACTGTAGTAGCTGCTCTTGCCATTTCCCTCTGCAGACAGATCGTTTCATAACATATCTCTTCTAATAGAAAGCTATAAAGCAGAAAGATCAGCCAAAACAAATCCTGGGCAAAACATTTCTCTGAAATCAGAGATGATTTAAATTTGTCATCAAAAGTTGGCTGGTCTCTTAAAATGAGAATCACACTAGAAGTTCTCTTGTTGCTAGATTCTAAACATAATACCTAAGAAGATGACAACTTTACTAAATTATCAACAGCCCTTAACATCTCTGTGATTAATACACAAAGTGATACTAGTTGCACAAACAATAAATTGAGTAAATGAAAAGATGACTGAATAGTGAAAGAGGGAAAGAACTCGAGTATGTCAGCCTTTTTCTGCTTTTATGCATTGCCCAACCAGAAGAATGCCCCCTGTGGCATTCTTATATGACCTTATATAAAACTTTCTTCTCCAACCTCTAGTCCCAAACTCTGGCTGCTGACTAGAGAACTAGTTGGGTCCAGAACAGTTATTTTAATAATCCTCTTCAAATCTCTGCTCAAGTCAGATTATGTGCAATGATTTCAACCAGCAGAATTTGCAATACAGCTTCCACATTTCTGAGACTAAGGCTTCCTCTGCAGGGCTTAAATCCCTGCATGAACTATCTACTATAGCAATGCCTCTGCAGAAACTGAAGTTCCAGAGTGAGCAGCTTCCTTGTGATTATGACAGGTGCACCATGGAATCCTAGTGATCCAACTTTTACATTTTCTACTCTCATCCTCTGTTTATCAACTTCACTACCTGGTGGGCTTGGCAAGGCTATGTTGTCAATTCCTAACCACATCTATGAGCCACTGATCTGCTGAGTTCAAGTGGTCAGTCAGAAATGAGAAATGCAGTTTCCCATCTGTTTCTTAAGCTGACCTTTCAGCACCTGACTATATTCTCTCTAAAAATCACACTCAGTACTTAATAGTAGAGAGTTACAACCCACGATCCCAGTGACTGAAAATCAGACACTATAATTTCACAGGAATCTCCAAACACTTCACAGAAATAGTGTAAGCATTATTATTTCCATTTATAGGGGAAAATTTGACCCAGATGTGACTTTCTCGAAATTGTTGCTGTGAACCAGAGCCAAACCAAATAATAACATTTGTTTCTTCCTCTGCTAAACCACATTATTGGCTCCCATGCAGAGATTACACCAGCCATAAAAACATTTTCAACGTATCTTTAAAGCTGGCATGACTTAGCAGAGTTAGACTGTAGGGGTTATTTCCCATCCTGCTGTTCACACCCCAGAACTGGTCCCTATGGCTATGAAAGATATTGTTCAGTGCTGCTTTAATAGAAACCCCATTTAGTATAAGTACATTTAATTACAAAAGCTCATTGACTCTATCAGTGAACCACAGAAAAAATGTTCAACCCATTTCAAGAAAGGTATTCATTGCCCCTGTAATTTCACATTCCACTTATTGCAGTAACAAAAGCTCCCTCACAGGTGCAGCCCCTCACCTGAAAGGGCAAAAAAAGGAAACAAAGAAAAAAAAGAAAAAGAAAAAGAGGCTCCTGTCAAAGTACACCTGCACCTCAAATAGGAACAGAGCACACCTATCAAGAATGGAAGGAGAGACCATGCACAGAGTTAAGGATTGGGCCAGGCAACCACTGAAATTTGTAAAGGAAATCCTGTTGTGCACACCTAGGCCCCCACTAAGCAGGTTTTCAGAGTAACTTTTCTACCTTATTACTGACCAGCCTGAGAGCTGCCACCTTCACCTGAGCACAGACACAAGAGGGGGCCACTGGCCTGTGTTCTTGTATTAAAATTGGAAATGACTGAGGTGTTCAGTTATCCACATTTTTGATGCCAGTAATGAATATCTAAATTCAGGCTCACTATTTGTAAGAACCACATTTCAAAAAGCCTCAAATCTTTAAGGACTGCACAGCAAAATTCCCATGCGTTTGTAATATATTTTGTGTATTTTATTTATTCCAATAAAATCACCTTCATATACATGCAGCTGGAATTTGCCACTGCCCATGATTTAAACAGGAACTCGTGTCTAGTTTTGATAGGGTATCACACTGAAATACTATCTAACTGAATTTTCTAAGATACTCTCATCAGGCAGAACTGCTCTACCCTTCCTCTTCAAACTACAAGCTCTTTTTCTACAGTTATCTCTTTGGTGTTGTATTTCTGTGTGCATTTGACACATCTTTGCTATAACAACACTCACCTTTTGTAAAGCAGCTCTTCTTCAATTCCATGGATTGTAAGCTTCTTCCATTCAGCTGGACTTCAAATTAATGGGTCCATAAAAAATAAATGCAGTTGAACTCCACATTTTACATTCATGTTTTATCAACAGCTGATTTAACAGGAGAAAATATTTAGATGGAGTACATGAAACCTGTCAGTTTTTCTCTGGAAGAGCTCTGATGTTGCTTAGAGAGAAACAATAATTTGATAAAATATAAAAAACAATGTGTAAATTAAGAAAATGCAGTTAAGAAAAAGGAGCTCACCTCCAGAATCTTTGTGGAGGCCAAAATAAATAAAAAAATACTTCCATTGCCAAAAATGTACATGAAGCTCACAAATATAGCACTATGATAATCCTTAAATCTTTATGCAAACAAGAGATCACTCAGTTCTTCATACCAATATAGTGAATTAATTTGTACCTTCTTCAGCTGTCCACATTCAGTGGTGCTCTCTTTGAGAAAACAAAAGGCACTGAATTTAATATCCTTGATTTCCTGGGTTTAATTCTATGATGTCTAATGATGTCTAATTTATTATAGCATAAAAATCATGCTCCTGCTATGAGCTGCTGTGCTGGTGCCTCCACTGTGACTTCAGCACGTGCCTCACGTCACAGCAGTGTGAACTGTGGATCCAGCTGTGGGACTGGGACATTCCAGGGAACATCTGTGCAAAGTCACCCATTCACAGCTGTGGATCCAGCTGTGGGACTGGGACATTCCAGGGAACATCTGTGCAAAGTCACCCATTCACAGCCACAGTGGTGTAACCAGGCTGCAGAAAGGCTGCAGATGAAGAGTGCAAATGTTATTTGAGACTCACCTTCTCCACTCAATGATATTTACAGTTGTGCCTGTTTTCCCACTTTTCCCAGGTTTTGTGGTTTCTGTTGTGATAGGCTGCATCCTGGGAGTTCTCATCATTCTTGCAATAGCCTTCTGGCTACTGAAGAAGAAAAGGTAAGATGTCTGGCTATCACATCACAAATAAAACCAAATCATGTCTTTCCTCTGACACAGCAAAGTGCTTGCTTGTCCAAAACTTTTCACATGTTTTATAGTGATAAGGTTTTATCTTTTATAAGGTATGATCTCTTCCTACAAACCATGATTTGTTTTTATTACTCTAGACATTATTTCCCCTGTGTGACATCAGGCTGAGTCAATAACAGATTTTCCCAGTTTTTCTATTTCTCAAATGCCATTTGTTCTTTGCTTGTTCTTTTTGCTAGCACAACTCCTCCTAATTGCTTTTTGGATCCTTCCATTTTTTCCTGGAACAGTAAGTGAAACAAGGAGAATAGAATTTTAGGGAAACCTCTCCCAAATGTTGAAACATTTTAGAGGAAGAAATATGTACTGCCAAAAGATTATTAAGCCACTGTTTGCCAACAAAGCCAAATCCTGGAAAAAAAATTCTAAGATTACAAATTTTCCTGTGCCTGATTCCCTTTGCATTCAGCATTGACCTTGCATGCAAAATGTGCTCTGAAATATTCGAAACAATAAGCTACTGTGACATTTGCACGAGTGCAGAGGAAAATAATCTCATACATGCATAACGGACAACTTTCAGTAACTAACCGTGCTTTTCCTTCATTTGCATTACAATTATTTAATAAATTTGTTTTATTTTAGCTGCAAAAAGGGAAGTGAAGGCAACAGAAGAGTCATCTACAAACAAGGCATGTACAAGGAGGAGGAAGATATCTCCAAAATTTGATGTTCTGCTCTATCATAAAAGTACTTTTCATTCATAGCACTGATTTATTTTGGATTGGTGAAACACATCTCTTGTTCTTGGTTAATGATAACCCTCAAGAGAGTTCTAAAAACACATACCAGCCAAAAGTTTTGTGTAGCCCTTGTTCTCTTGTTTTCCAGAGAGATATGATCAGTGAATCCCCCTGAGCTGAATTCCTCGCCACATTCTTTTCATGTCTGCTGCTACCGATCTGGGTGTTTTATCTGATTTCACAGTTAATCCTGAACTCCAGTTTTATGGTTTGTTTAGCACAGGTTTTCCCACAGGTATTCAAATCTGAAGACACTCATCGAGCTACAAGCACTCTTCCCTCCTGAAACAATTTTGGCTTTCTATTCCAGCAAATTGCTGGACTTGGTCTGTGCCAGCACTGGGAAATTTCTGGATCTGGGCACTGGTGGTGCCAGTAAACACCAGATTTCAGGCTCTAGGTGCTGGTAAGACTGGATCTGGAATCCTCCCTCCCTCCCTCTGCAGCTCAGGGCCTTTACCTCAGCCTTCCCAATTAAACTGCAGCCTCCCAGAAGACACTTCTGGGCCTCAAAATTCCTACAACCATCAGGCACCCTCCAAAAGTGCCTCCTGCTTTCCCTCCCTCTAGTGCCCCACTCCAAGATCCCAAACCACTCCATCCCCCCTTCCATCCTGAACTTCATCCCATCCCCACAGTACCATTGAACACTGTCATGGGTTTCTTCCTCACCCTCTTTCCAGGACTGTTCAAACAGGAGGCTGGCTTAAACCCTTCCCCACTTCTCAATCCCTAATCTTTCTGCTCCATTATATAAGCTTTAGACTATAATAACTGAGTACTGCACATTCACTTAGAGGCTTTTTTGCTTCACAAAACTTTCATTTGATGTGAGACTTTCATAATAAAACATTCTCCTGTCTTCAGTTTGAGGGCTTTAGTTACCATTAAAGCCATGTTTGCACAATTCTGCAGACAATGAGGCCAGCCTCCAGGACACTGGGTCTACATTCTTAGGAGAGTAAGCAAGAGGCTGCAGTGTTCCCCTGTCTTCCCATACTAAAATCCTTTTAGTGTGGTCCTGTTTAACACCCACATAAAGTTCAATTTTTTTTTGCCTGTCTGGAAGGACTAGGCCAGGAGCTTCAGTTAATATTCCTTTTTTATTTTTTTCTTCCTAACACTTTAAAATTCTTCTTTCTTTCTGGTGTCCATTCATGGATTTTCTTAACTGGCAAGATGAGTATTATAGGGAGGCATGCATGGCTCCAAAAGACCTCTTTTTAAACACCACTTGTCCACGTTGCTTCACAGTAGTTTGGAGAGGATCTGAGACACAAACTTTGAAGAATTTAAGATTTTAGAGAAGCTGAGGCCTTAATTAAAAATAAGCTTTGCTGAAGCTAATTGAAATAAATAGATGGACCTTGCTAAAATTAAAGGTAGATAGAGAGGCCTTGCTAAAATTAGAAGTTAATCATTGGCCAATAACTAATTGTCTGACAACCTTATCCTTCTTCAGCTGGGCTTGTAATGAGGCCCAGAATGTCAGTTCTTTTGCAGATGAAGGAAAGCAGGCAGCCCAAGTGTTTTAGGTGCACAATTACAGACAGCCCATGTGAGACTGGAAGAAATGACTCTCAGCTTTTAAAATTTCAAAGCTTTATTAAACCTTAACAAAATACAACAGAAGGGCTGAATAAGGAAAGAGACACTGCTCTGGGAGCACTGAGCATCTGCCACGTGCTCGTCTACAAAGTGGCTGCTCCCCCTTTTATAGCCCTGGGGTTGTGTCAGTTAAAAACTGCACAGTGTAAAAATTCCCAAAACCTGTCTGTCAACTCTTCTTCGCCATCCATTGCTGGAGATAACTTTCTTGCAGCTTGATTGGAGGTCAGGTGTTGTCATGGCTCTATTAACAGGCCTGTTCTCCCCACATCTGCCCCATCCAAGGGGCACACGGACACGTCCCCCTCCCTCACGTGTTCCCACTGCTGAGGCCATCCAGTGGCAACAATACAAGAGGGATGGGTTAGGAGACTATGGGGAGAACAGAGGATGTCTAAATAACAAATCACTATAACATAATTATATATCAATAAAACTTTTCCTAACATATCCACAATATTCATCCTTTAATTGTGAGAGCCAATCCATCACATTAACTATCTATAACAAGATCAAGGCTGGACAGAGCATTCTGTTCTGGCTGCTTTCAAGTACCAGCAATGCTTGAATGTACCTCTCACCTGCCTTGCCTTGCTTTGGTAACCCAAATTTCCTTGCCTTGCCCTTCTAACCCTCCCTAGCCTTGCATTCTCCTGCACAACCATACCCCACCCTTGACTTGTCTACTGGTTTCCTCCAGGGCCTTTCTGATTCTGCCTGGCCTACCCATCTCTGGGCTTACCTTCCTATTCCCAGCCTTGCCTACAACTTCTGGGCCTTCTCTCACCACTCCATTTGCTTTCCCTTCACTGCTCTACCTCCCCTGGATATGCCTACAGCAGCCTACACTTGGTTTGCATTGCCTTGCCTGCATGGAGTGCAAAGCAAGGAGTGACAGGCAAGGCAAAGCAAAGCAAGGAAGCTGTAGGTAGGGCCAGGCAAGGCAGACATGGGCAAGTCAAGCAAAGCAAGGGTAGACTAGGAAAAACTAGGAATGATACTGAAAGCAAGGCAAGGCCAAGTGACTTGGAGAACCTTTCCTTGGGAAGCAAAAGATATAATGCCAATGATGTTGGAGCAGATGTTAAGGTTCTGTGGCGAGGAATAGTCCAGCAAGATATATCTGTCCTGGCCCCTTTTGTGCAGGCATATTTGTTGGATGCATTCAATACTAGAGGTAGATTGGGCCCTGGGTGTTTTGTATTTTGGTAGAGGAAATCCATTTCTTTTGATATGCTCTTTGGCAAAGAAAGCAAGTTTGGATGGGAACTTTGGGCGGTCTGAGTGAATTTAAAGGCTTTTCCCAATAGGCAGTTCTCTAGGTTAGAGCTATTGAATTTTCAGTGGGAATGCAGGTACCAAGCTGCTGAGTTTTTTTGTCCTGGTAGCTTTAGCGTGTGGGCAGTCTCAGGTGCCTTTACATTTGGATCTTGACCCTGTGAAACTGAAAGCTTAGGACGGTACCTAGAGCTGAGAACCAAGTGCCCATAGCGGGGGCTGTGCTCATAGTTTGATGGGTGCAGTCGAAGTTGTAGGCAGCGAGATGTTCTTTGCCAGATGTATTCAAGTTTTTTAGCTGACTCTGAGTGAAAAGCTCAGTGAGGACAAAGGAGTTCACGTTTCCCTTTGAGTGTGGTGCAATGAAGACCAGGAGGGGAAGATCAGCAAAATCTCTTTGTGGTGGAACAATGGGTTGGAGAGCAAGGACATTTTTCAGTTTGGCTCTGCATTCCGTGGTTTCGAGCTGGCCTTGGTGCATTTCCTTCTTTTGCGAGCTGACAGCACCATCGTGTGGTTGTTCCATCGTGTGGTTGTTCCATCGTGTGGTTGTTTTGTTCCATCGTGTGGTTGTTTTGATGAGCTCTGACAGGGCCAAGGAAAAAGCCAAGCGCTTTTCTGGCCCGGCCCCTTTTGTGTGGGGATAAAGCTGGGGAGAGCTCCCCTGTGGATCCTGGCTCCTACCTGGAAACTGACAGAAAGTGCTCTTACATGTAGAGGGAAAGAAGAGGAATAGTTTCATTGTTGGCTGAGCAGTTTATAAGCTGTAAAAATAAGGCAATTGCAGCACGGCCTCATCCTTTTAGAATGTTTGCTGTGTGATCAGCTGCTCAGCATTTAACTCACATGCACTGAACTGCATCCCCCTCCCTGGAGACATGCACTTTCTCTCAAGCTCTGTGTACCATCTTACCCTCTCAGTTTTGCAGATCCCAAACCCCTCTAAAATATCCAGCAGCTGCTTGCAAAAAAAAGTCCTACAAAAGCCAGTGTTGGCTTTCATAGTCCCTTTGCAGGCTGTAAACAAGACGAAACACAGTAATGATTCACACTTTCCTTCTCAACTGTAGATATCAGTACATTTTCTCAAGGTGGCAGAGCCCATCATTACAGCAAAACATTTCCAGCTGCAGTTCAGACTGAGAGATGTGCCAAGACAGAAGAATTTGCTGCCTTTCCTTCTTCTCTGTGAAACCCATTATCTGCAGCTCAATCACTTTCACACACTTTCTGCTGAGTCCAGCTGCTAGAGATCACACAAAAGGAAGTGTTGGGACAGAAGATGTTCTTAATGTACCCCCTTCTCTTAGCAGCAATGAGCTGTGCACGTTGCACTGAGGCTCTGTATCTTCTTTTCCAGATAAACCTGCTGTCACTCTTTTCACTCCCAAATCTTCATTGCAGATGTCCAGCATCTGTGCCTATAGATAAAGGTTCTAGAAGTAAAAGTCAGTACAGAGCTGCACCTTCCCACCACTACCCAAATCTGACCCGACTAGGTTTTGAGTTGAACATGCTTTTATACTCTATAACTTTCATATTAATTATTAAACTTATATTGGTCTATTGTATGCATTGATTTTACCCAAGCATGGATTTCTCATGATCCCCCCAAACCCCTAACATAGTTTCTCATGATTCTTTAAAAAATAATTATATCTAATCACATCTAACAATTATATCATTTATCATATACTGACTACACAGGTGCAGTTTCACATGATCTTAGCAAGCACAAGGCCTAACATTTCCCAGAGCCTACCTTTAACACCTTTCCCAGGGCTTGCCAAGCCTAACTTCCTTTCTAACTCTCCAAATTTCTTATGATTTTAAAATCTTTTACTATCAGGGTCAGGCTGAATCCTGCTCCATTTGTAATTTTCAGAGGCAAAAGCCTGGTCCTGGACACAGGACATCAATGGTGGCACTTTAACTGGGGAAAAAACCTGACCCCATCAGGTTCCTGATGTAAGTTCTTCTGAGGTGTTTGGCATTCCAAGGACAGCCCGAATTCTAGGTGCAGGCAACTTGGGTCTGGGAGGAATCCTGCTCCACTTGTAGTTTTGGAGACAGAATC